GAGAGAGAGAGAGAGAGAGAGAGAGAGAGAGAGAGAGAGAGAGAGAGAGAGAGAGAGAGAGAGAGAGAGAGAGAGAGAGAGAGAGAGAGAGAGAGAGAGAGAGAGAGAGAGAGAGAGAGAGAAAGAGAGGAGCAGGCAGGCAGACAGACAGACAGAGATAGAGAGAGAGGGAAAGAGATGAAGAGAGACGCAATATATGGATGTTCAGCGCGCGTACGCTGTAACTTACCACAGGTGTCTGGCATGGTGATGTCGATACCCTGGCGGCGGCACTCCGAAATGTACGCGTCTGCGATGGAACACATTCCAGTGACGTAGTCGCCCTTCTTGGTGACATCGGTGACGCACATGTCAAAGAATGCTGATGTGTCGACCTGGCTGAAGCAGGCACGGAATGGACTGGACTGCTCTTGGAAGTATGCGGCACACGCCCTGTAGCCCGCGGTGTCAACCTCTACTGGCACAACCTGCAACGCAATCACAGGTATGTGCGATTAAAGGAATACTTCACCGAGATGCAGCTCCTTGTTAATGTGGGTAGTGCGTCCCGTCATTGTACATCACCGATCGTTGTGCGCAGAAGATGTCAAGCATTACTCCTGTCATTATCCTGTTTCCTTTTTTTAAATTGTATAAATATGTATAGCATATGTAAGCATATAAATGTGTGTATTTATGTATATGTGTGTAAGTAGATAAATTATGTCATGTGTTTAACTGTGCGGAAATGCACGAAGCCAAAAAAAATAAGCACACAAGCATCACCGTGTACGACAATATATCACACTACGTGACGCACCGTGGCCATGTTGCTTGATCGACAAGATTCATCGAGGTTCCATGAACTCGTGAACGTATTGACGTCGGTGGTTCTCTGGCGGCTGGCCGTAAGGAAATCGTCGTTCTTCTCGTTGTTGTACGTTCCCCAGAGACCCGCGGTCTTTCCGAAGTACCTGCGCATAAACAGACCATCAGAACATTATAATAGCACGTATATCCACCCGAAAAAGTGCTTGCAGTCACTCTACACCTAAGCCTAATAATAAGGCTAATAATAACAATTATAATAATAACAATAATAATAATAATAATAATAATAACAATTATAATTATAATAATAATAATAACTACTAACTTATGGGACAAGCTATGTTAATACACCATCTACAAACTGTAATAAAGCCTCTTGCACGCCGATTTATAATTCATTCAATACCACATGAAGGGAACAACAAGAGTAGGGAATTGTGATTGCACGTACCATCCGCTCATGTGCAGTGTGCAGATATCGCGTTGCCAGTTGCAGACGATGCTAACACCACGGCGATTGTCGATGCGAACGGTCGGACCCATGCGCCTAACCATCGTGTTGTCGAATTCTATGGGCATCTCCTGGTTCTCGCCATCAACGTTGACCTGATAGTTAAAGATACGCAACATTAACTGGGGTTCCAAGAATTGAGTGTATAGGTTCGTGTGCTGGGCTTAAATATCGTTAACATTGCACTCGTATGCGAATACGATTACGTCAGGAGTGTAAGAATATAGTCTATTATATATAATATAATATATAATATATATTATATATATATATAATATAATATATAATATAATATATTATTACACTCCTGATTACATACACCCAATTCACATTACATTCGTGCTTCGCGAGTTTCTTTAGTTCATCGTCAACAATGTGATAGCTTACTCTGTAGTCCGGAGTGATCTCGATCTGTCTGTTGTCGCTCAGAACAACCATCGATCTCTTGGAGACCTCGCGACCCTGCTTCTGGTAGTTGACGATGACGCTGAAGTTGGCATCGATGAAGTCGTGGGCGAGGACGTAGCTGCACTGTCCGGCGAAGTCGTAGAACGTGTTGTCGAAGGTGACGAAGTGCTGGGAACCGATCAGCATTGCCTGGGCTGCAGCAATAACAAAATAGCGATGAGAAACCGCGCCACTGTGATCACGTGCTATAGGAATGGCTCAAAGAAGTATGAAGGCTCAACTAATGCTTCAGTTTAAATCAGTGATATGTGTCACAGATCGACGGTCTTCTTGAACGCTCACCCTTGAATGGTGGAATCCAGTTGTTGATGTCAAGTGTTGGCTTGTACTTGTAGTAGGTGTCCAGCATGCTGTAGTTGGCAATGTACGGCTCGTATTTCTCGTACTGCGCCTTGATCTGACTGTAGTACGGAAGAGACTCAACATCAACCTGAAAAAAACGAAAAACGTACAGCAACTATTAAATTATATTAAATTATATTCTATTATATATTTCTTTTTATATATTTCCATTGTATTCAACTATTAATTAGCAATAATTGAGCAGAATGCTACATCAGCGAAATGTTGTTGCATTTTTCATCGGTTGATGGATATCTCAGCGTGATTCTTACCTCTGGAATCTCATCTAGGGTCTTCATCTCAAATGGCAGGTATTGCTCGTACTGGATCTCTCCCTGCTCGGGCTCATACACCGTCACGTGGCTGATGTCGGGCCGGATGTACTGGTGAACTAGATCCCTGACGGTGTCCTCTATGACCTTCTGGCCCTGCTCGATACCAACCTGGCTGAACTTCACGGCATTCTCCTTCAGGTTGAGTGTGTCGAGAATCCAAGAGGCCTGTTCATTGGTAGAAAATACGATGTAAGAATACGCACACATAGTAAGCTATAAACATTTTTATGTGGTTCCAAATGCTTTACATCTATAGCTAGCAGGCTAGGCAGCAGTATGTACTCGATAGTCAGCAAACATGATTATTAATTATTTAATTACTTTTAACTATTATGTAGCTATTATTTAACTATTACACCAAAGGCGCGTTGATATTATCGTGTTATATCTTTTACTAATCGTACGGCTACAGGTTTAAACGCCAGTAGCAAAGCACTTACATGATCTTTCATCAGCTGGGTGGTTGGGTGGTTGGCAATGTCGTCGTACATGTTGCCGTACTTGCTGCTGTAGTCGTTGAACATGTCACTGTACCTGTAATAGATATTTTATATGTTGGCTTAAATTTTATATTATAATTATTTCATATTATTTATTGTTATTATCATCATCAGCATCATCAGCGTCATCATCATCATCATCATCATCATCAGCATCATCATAATCATCATCACCATCATCATCATCATCAGTAAATTACATTTATGTATATTAATTACGAATACAATATGAAGGCTACGATTTATCACTTATAGTGCTTTAGGTAACGGAAGGACTGACGGTGCTCCGACAATGTTTGTAAACAAGCAAACAAAAGATCGCCACAGAGTCACAATTATCTTCTTAATTACCTGCTGCCGAAATCAGACATGTACTCCTTGCCATTTCGCATGTGTCCGCTGACCGTATCCTTGATGCTAGAAGCGTGCTGGTAGTATGGGTGGCCTTCTACTTTGTTGTAGAGTGTCATCACAGCGTCTAATGAAACAAGGGGATGCATCGCTATCACAATTACCCACAAAGTAATCGGCGGCATAACAATGAAAAGAGAGACGGTCTGCAATTGTTTAATATTACGTTTAAATAGCTCTATATTAGTCCACTTACTGTTGAGACGTTGTTACGTATTATAAATAGCTTTATATAATGTCCACTTACTGTTGAGACGGTCAATGACGTCGTTGACAAGCTTCTCTGCCCCTGGGTAGTACTTCTGAATGTATGGAGAAGCCTTGTTCATGAGCTGCTCGCCCTTGTTGTACAGCTTATCCATAACCTCAGCACTGTATACCTCAAGCTTCTGGTAGCCCTATATGAATAGCAACAGTGCTCGCCTGTTATTCACCACCGATTCGACCCAAAGAAGTCTTGAGATTAAGCCTGAATCTAGAGTTAGTGCATTGTTATTCTTCACCGATTCAACTCAAAGAAGTCTTGAAATGAAGCCTGAATCTAGAGGTAGGGGCATTGTTGTCAGGTAGCAATAAACGATCGCGTTGTTGTGATTACGCGGGCGTGCGTACCTCGTCGTAGTTCCTGTTGAGCGTAGCCATGTACTCGTCGTACTTCTGCGTAGCCTCGCGTTTCATCATCTCGTACTTGCGCATCATCTGCACGTAGTTCTCGTCGTACGACTGCTGGAACTTGACGGAGTACTCTTGGATCTTACTGTCGAGCTCGCGCATGTAGATGGTGTATTCACGGTTGAGCAAGTACTTGTAGTATTCGTAGTAGTACGCCATGGTTCTCGAATATTCGCTGAAAACATTCATAATAAACATAAGCAATTTTACGTTAAATAAATAAATAAATAAATAAATAAATATATATATATTTATTTATTTATTTATATATAAACTGAGTGCGGTATAAACTGGTTTATGAATGAATACGCATTTCGCCATCTCAATTAAATTATAAAGTTCTTTGCATTGGCTACTATTTTTTGAACCTGCCAATTATCAACAGTGCAGTACAGTACAACACAGTAAGGTACCGTATATTTGTCACATTCCTAGACACTACACTTAAAAAGTGCAAAAACTACGTCAATTTACTATTAAGTTTACCTGAAGATTCTCTCGGCAGCCTCATACACGGACATCGACACCTTGTGGGTATCCCTCATGAAGAACTCGTTGTTGTCGTATAGGGTACTCAGGCTGTCAACATATCGGCTGACATCGTTCGCGAGGCGCGACCACTCTCTCCTGGTCTGAGTGAGGAATGGTTCGGTGGTGCTGTCGATGTGACGCTGGTATTCACTGTAATGGCCTCGCACCTCCCTCTCAACCTGCTGACGAATCGCTTCCCACTCGTTCACAAAGCTTTCCGACACAGACCTCTTAGTGCGCTCCGTCGTTTCCTAAAAAAATAAAAAGTAAGCGTCGTGTTATGTCCAATTCAGTGCAAAACTATCCATTGAATCCCGACTCCCCTACATCTATATTGGAAGATGCTGTCCATTAAGATTTAGTAGAGAAGCTTCACCTTGATGTCACTGTAGGCAGATGGGCGCCAGTAGAGACGAGTGTGCATCAGGTGGCTGTTGTTGAGGCGAGTATTGTAGAGGGCATCCGTGGTGCGGGCGCCGTTGATGCTGTGAGATGCTTCGACATTGAAAGCAGAGCGACTCTCCCATCCACCGTGAACCTCGAACTTCTTGTTGGAGTTGTCTGAGAAACACAGTCCCGCGTGTTAGGTCAGTGCAGTATAGGTGCTCTCTGATAATTTCTTCGTTCTCATAGCATTCGCGGAGTACGTTATAAAAGCCAATGGTTCGTGGCTCGTGTAACACGCGTTTATACGAGATGACTGCATCGTATTAATAATTATCTTGAATAATAATTTCACTTGAGTGTACCTTCATCATCTATGGGTGTGCCCTGATCACGAAGAAGAGAAGAGAAGCGAAGAGAAGCGAAGAGAAGAGAAAAGAAGAGAAGAGAAGAGAAGAGAAGGGAAGAGAAGAGAAGAAAATAGAAGAGAATAGAAGAGTCTGTATTTACCAGGATCGTAGTACACGACCAGATCAAGCTGTTTCTGCGGCTTGTTCTGTAGGTCGAGGGTGGCACGGATGGGTCTACCGTTGTCTGTGCTTCCAGTCACTGAGACAGTGTATTTGTCAAGGTCACCTCTGTACTCGGTGTTGTATTGCCCACTGAACATAGCCGACTTCACCGGGGAGTGCATCTATATTAGCATTAAGAATAAACTAAGTACATTAAACGTAAAATTTGTACAAATTACGTAAAGTAAGAATATTAGCAGCGGGTATCATGTACGTATCTCATTGTGTAGCTCACTATACTAGGGATCCAAAATGGCTCATTAAACTGCATAAATTGATACGTCGGTGCTTTTCGCAAGACACCCATTCTTCCCGTATAGTACAGCGTGTGTGTACGTGTTCGTGTTTGTGTGTAATTCGCGTTGTAATTCCTGTTAGACATACGTACCTCCAGCTCGATGGCCTTGCGGATCTTGTCGATTCTTCCTCTCAGCACAGAGTTGATCGTCTGGCCACGGCGAGTTAGATAGTCGAACCTAGCCGCACCTTCAATGGCACGCGGTGAGTAGGCAACGAATCCTTCAATGTCGGAATCAACCCTCATCACTGGGTGAAGCAGAGATGCAGATAGAGTGTAGTTCTTCACATCTCTCATAGAGACGTCCCTCAGAGTAGTAGCGAATCGGATATTCTGGCTGCTCTCAACAGCATACTCTAGCTCAGCCTTCGTAGACAGGATGATATCAGCCTCGTTGAAGACAAACTCAAACTGGCTGACCACTGCCTGCAAAATACATTATTATCATGCACCATCAGTTATAAATATAGTGTACATACATAATAATAAATGATAATAACTGATATCGAATCAAACTAATATATAACTAGAGCACTCGGAGAGCGCAGACCTCCGCCAGGGCAGCTGAATTCTCTCACTGTGAAAAATGTAATTAATTATCCGGATGACCACCAAAATGTAATCAATTCTAAGTTACCCCATTTCTGACCTATCCTGCAAATTTTATTAATTAATTAATTAATTGATTGGATCCGGATCACCACCAAAATGTAATCAATTCTAAGTTAGCCCATTTCTGACCTATCCTGAAAATTTTATTAATGAATTGGATCCGGATCACCACCAAAATCTAATCAATTCTAAGTTAGCCCATTTCTGACCTATCCTGAAAATAGGTCTTACACAACTAAAAAATAACTTTTTTAGTTAGGTTGTACACAAAGAACGGTGTTACAAACCCACAAACGCACAAACCCACAAACGAACAAACACGCGCCGGTGAAAACATAACCTCCTGCCAACCCCTTGGCAGAGGTAATAAATCATTGATTTTACCCTAAAGTATATTCAGTCTCCAGTTTCACATAATTTCATTTCCATACTACGTTCTTTTTACACATCAACTTAAGTGCGTATATCTGCATACCTTGCGGAGGGCTGGATGTTCGAATGTAACGGTGGCTTGGTGGTGAAGTGCTTTTCCACGGCTGTCATCACGGATGGCAAGAATCGTGCGTGCCTTCTGGCTGTCGGTGCGAAGGGCATCCCAATTGAACTCAACAGCGGTCGTCATCTGACGCTGAGCCTTCTCGTGGTGCAGGTTGAATTCTACAGATCGCACCGGGTGGCTGAAGGCGACCTTGCCATCGTAGATGGCCTTGCTTCGGGTAGACTTGTCATCAAGAACAACTTCGTATCCCATCTGAACGCCACGCTTCCACGAGAAGAGGATCTCGTTGGTGAAGCGAGTTGAAGTCTTGTCCAGCTCGTAGTTAAAGAACATGGTGCGTGAGGGGTATGTTGTCTCGATGCGGAAGCGACGGTTGAGGTCGCTACCACGGCTGCGATCGTACGATACAACCTGAGCTCCGACCTTCTTGTCTGCTTCATTCAGGTTCCAGTTGAATTCGCCAGCGAGTTCGACGTCCTTGTCTCCAACACTGACTGAGTAGGTTACACCGACTGGGAAGGCCTTGGTTCTCAGCTGCACATCTCCGGTAGTGCGGGTGGTGCGGCTATCGCTGTTATCAGTGAACTTCAGCTGAAGATCGTATACCTGCTCTCCATTCATTTCCATCGCGAAGGATGAAGCGTGGTTGTCCGTGTGCTCAAATGGCTTGCATGTGGTCTTGAATGCAAACTGTCTCATGTCGCGGAAAGAGGACGTGGTCTCAACATCAAAGATGTAGACGTCAGTGGTGTAATCGTACAGCACGATTGAGGTGATGTGCTGGTTAGATGGCCACTGGAGTGTTGTTTCCTGAGTGATCTTGTTGGGAGTATACTTGGTCTTTGTCAGCATCTTATAGGACTCATAGCCACGGAAGGGAGTGTTCAAGCTCAGCTGGGCATTGTAGATGTCATCGCTCAGAGCGACGAGGTCGTAAGCGATATCAATAGCCTGACTCTCGCTCCAGGAGAACTTGTGCTTGCTGCTCAGCTTGCGGCTTTCTACGTAGGTATATTCATGCTCGTACTTTACAAAAGGCACTGCGTCGAAGGATGTTTTCAGCTCAGTGTTCAGGGCGTTGGCATGGCTGCAGGAGCGTCCGTAGCTAGAGTATCTACCGGAGGAACAACCACTTGTGGTGTGGGTCATGTCTAGCTTGAAGTTGACAAATGTGTTGGGAGACATCGTGAAACGGTTTTCGGAAACCATCATTACTCTTTGGTTAGTATCGAAAGTGTAAGTTCCGCTGTATTCGATCGTCTGTCCATTATTATATTCTGCTATCAGGCCATATCTGTAACCATTTGGTGAGCGGTCAAGGTTGGTAGTAAGTGACTGCGACTGATAGCCACGGAAAGGAGTCTTGACCTCAACAATGAAGCTTTTTGGGAAGCTATCCATATTGTTGACTGATCCACTGACTTTGATCTTCCTCTGCTGATCCCACTGAAAGGTGAATTCACCAGTGTAGTTGTCCCTACGTTTGCCGAACTCAGTGCTAACCATCAAGTATTCCATATTTGGGATTGGGCTGGTGAATGTGACAGCAATGGATTTGCGTCTGGTGTCATACTGGATGTCAGTGTCCAGCTTGATGGTCTCCCTGTTGTAGATGAGCTTGGCAGTGGACGTGTATTTCTGCTCAGTTAACTCATACATGCTAGTGAAGCGGATATTTTCGAAGCCTCTGAATGGGCTGGAGAAAGAGATGCTGAGGTCCTTGAGGCCTGCAAGTCTGGCAGTGAGAAGCACTCTACCACTGAGGGCGCTGGATGTAAAGGTGACTGTCGCATCATAGTCGAATCCACGGATATTATAATCAATGCCCAGCTGCAGATCTTCAAAGTTGGTGAATGGACTTGTGAACTCGACGTTGAAACGGCGTGCATTTGACTTAATGATCAGGTTGGTGACATCTTGACCATATTTCAGCGTGGTGATGCTGGCGTGTCCATTTTGATCAAAGTCATACGATGAGATGAAAGCGAATTCGGGATAGAACGGAGTCTTGGCATCAATTGAAAATTGCTTGTGCTCCTTGTTGATGAGCGTGAAGCCGAAAATGCCTCTGCCATTGTAGCCGTTGTACGGGTAATCAAACTGGAGGGTGGCCTCGTAGTCGTCTGGTGTGTACTGGACAACGGCCGCCATCTTGTAATTGTTGTACTCTCTGAAAGGTGTGGTGATGGTCAGCTCCGTCTCTAGCTGTGTGCTTGTCAGCTTGATCATGCCACTCATCTCTACTTGCTTCATCTCTGCCCACTTGGCACTAATGGCAGTACTGTACTCGAAGTCTCTCTCAAATCCAAGACCTGCTGTAAACTTAAGGTTCTCGTAGTCTCGGAATGGAGTCATGACGGTGAGTTCAGTCTCCAGGTTAGATGACGTCAGTTTGTAATGACCAATCAGCTTAATCTGCTGGTTACGTTGCCATTGCATGGTGATCATGGCTGTGTAGTCACTTGGAGCATAGACGAATTCTGTGGCCAACCTAGTGTTCTCGTAGTCACGGAATGGAGTGGTGAGGGTCAACTCTGCGTTCAGCTTAGACGATGTCGCTTGGTAACGGCCAGTTAGCTGAATCTGCTGGTTACGTTGCCACTGTGTGGTGATCGTGGCTGTGTAGTCATTTGGAACAAAGCTCAATTCTGTGGCAAATCTAAAGTTCTCGTAGTCACGGAATGGAGTGGCAAGGGTGAACTCGGCATCCAACTTAGTAGAAGAGAGCTGGAAGCGGCCCTGCATCTGTATCTCTTGGTCATTGATCCAATGCACGGTTATACTGCTACTATATTTGTCTCCAGCGATGGTGTAGGAGCTTTCAAAGCCAAGGTTTTCATATCCAGGGAATGGCGTTTTTAGTGAGAGACTGGCTGACTTGCGATCACTCCTGTAGGTGTAAATAATTCAAAATATTATATATAAAAATTGCAGGCTTCAATCACTCATAAATAATAATGCAACCATGAAAAAAAATTTAAATAGATACCAAAATAATGCATTCATCTACCTCACTTAATGAAATTAAAATTAAAAATAATATTGTTAGCAAAATGCTAAAGGTACTGAATCAGATAGCACATACCTGGCCCCCGCAAATTCGCCACTGAGTTCCACCTTCTTGTTACTTTCCCACTTGAAGTTTACGTTCATACTATGGGCTTGGTTACGCAGATAGTAGACGGAATTGAAGCTAAGTGGCTCCCTGGTGATTCCTGTCAGCTGCATATCAAACTCCTTGTGGTATGGCAAATTGATTCTCCACGAAGTCGTGAAATCAATATTTTGGTTTCTACCCGCTTCTACACTGAGAGTGATGATGTGTTTCTCATTCTTCACTTCGTAGCGGCTGTCCCAGCTGAGTTCCTCAAAGTTGGTGAAGGGGCTTGTCCACTGCAGAGTCAGTTGCTTTTGCGTTCTTGGAGTTGCTCTGACGGCCGCACCAAACGTAATCTTTTTGTTTGTAGCCCACTGGAAGCTGAAATCTCCTGCGTAGTCTTGGTTGCGGATTTCATAACTAGTAATAAGAGTCAGATCATCGTAATACCTGAATGGACTAGTGAAGTGCAATGTGATCTCCTGGTTGGAAAGCGATCCGGTAAACACAACCTTTTTCGTGGGAGCCCATTGAACCATTGTTCTGATAGTGGACGGGTCTTGACTAGCCTCTAGGGTTAGGGACTCAAATCCTCGGAATGGGCTTGTGAACCCGAGTTCTAGCTGTTGGTATTGGTTCAAGTGTCCAGTCACGGTGACCTTGTCTCTGCTGTTCCACTGGAAGGAGACTAATCCATTGTAGTTACCACGCTCTGCTTCTACAAAGTTGGAGTTAAACATCAGTGTCTCAAAGTTCTCAAATGGACTGCTAAACGTCACTGTCACCTTCTTCTTGTATGCATTCAGGAGTCTTGCACTGAACTCAATCTTCTTTCTTGGTGCCCAATCAAAGCTGAATGTACCGGTCATGTCACTGTTGCCTTGGTTTCTGAATGAGGTCATCATTTCCAATGACTCGTATCCAGAGTACGGGCTCTTGATGCTTGCCTCCAAAGTAATATAGTTATTCTGTATGTTCTGGAATCGGCCATTAAGTTCAGTCTTCTGGTCATTCCAAACATAGTATACAGTGCCTCTAGTACCTTCTCTGGAGTTTGTGCTGTATGCCCATCCGAGTTCGTATTCCTGCTTGCCTCCATAATATGACCCCGGCTTGTTATTACTGAACTTGACTGAGAACTCTCCATCGACTATAGGAGTATAGGCAAAGTGGTTGGTAATTGTGTATTTTGGAGTCTCGGGCAATTGCATGTTGAAAACAACATCGTACTTCAATGCATCGGCGGTATACTTCAGGTCAGTGGCACTGGAGCCATACATAGTACTTGTAGTACGAAGGACTGATGTGATGAGAGAATTGTAGCTATCACCATTATTGCTGTATTCGAGAGTTAGAGAGTGCCTGTTTCTTGGGTGGGTCAACATGAGTTGGCTGTTGAGAGTTGTAGAGTCCGATTCATGACGTAGAGTCAATACAATCTCCTCGAAGTTTTTGAAAGGACTTGTGAATTTGACCATCGAGTTGAAGTTCAGGTTGTTGCCATGCATCTGGTAGCTCACAGTCTCCTCGATTGCAATCTTTTGATCATCCATTCTGAGATAAGCCTTGCTGGTAGATTTACCGTTTGCCCATTCGTGCTTTCCATACAACTCAATGTTTTTCAACGGGTTCATTGAGGTGACCTTTAACTCCAGATTGTCTACAGAAGGATAAACAGCTGCGACTTCAAGGCTCATCTTGTCCCTGCTGTTGTACTGGAGCTCGTAGTTGCTTGTCCACCGTGCGTTGTTGTTATCGTGGTGGCCGTTAAATGCGATCATTTCAAGACCACGGAAGGGGCTTGTGAAGACAGCAGTAGTCTCCATGAGGTTTCCACGCGTTGGCAGGAATTTGAAAGATCCATCAAAGTTCACCTTTTCCCTCGGACTCCACTGTACATCAAAGTGCACCATCTTTGCCTTGTTCTCGTCTCTAGACGTGTACTTTGTGCTGAGCTCTTCGAAGTTCGTGAAGGGACTAGTAAAGCGTGCAGTAGCATCATAGCTTCCATCACCCAGGCGCTTGCTGGTTGTATCGAAAGTCAGCCTGTCCCGACGCGTCCATTGAGCATCAAGATGAACGGAATGTTCCAGGTTCTCATATCCGTAAGTGTACGTGCTGCTCAGATTCTCAAAGTTCCTGAAGGGGCTAGTGAATCGGCCACTAAGGTTAACCTTGGTTGCTCCATTCCTCGTGTAGTATCCGGGGCTGGTCATCTTACCATTGACGTTCAAAGCAACCTTCTGAGTAGGAGCCCACGCGAAACCGCCAATGCATCTGAACTGGGTGTTATCGTTGAAGTGGGAAGCATTCAGGGACCAGTTCTCGTAGTCACGGAATGGAGTTGTGAAGCCTACTGAAGCCTGGAGTTCATTGACAGCACGAGAAACCCTGCTACTGAAGCTAGCTCCGGCCGCAATCCTCTTGCCACGCGCCCATTCGAATTCAGCATTCGATGATAGTTGACCATTCATCAGCTCTCCAGAGAAGTCGGTGTTGAAAGCAGATCTGATTGTGCGCCCTGGGTAGGACATCTCTAATTCCGCCCTGTAGCTGTTATCTGTGTTGGCCATGCTGGTTTCAATGCGGAGGGCCTGTGACTGATCACGGTCAGCATCCCACTTCAGATCGAAGGATCCAGTTGCTTGAGAGTAGCTGAGAGCTCCCCGTGTGTCCAGTGTGATGTGACGGGAGTTTCTCCTGTATGGGTCATTCAGCGTGATGTCAAACGTCAGAGCCTTCTGGACGCCAGTACTGAGGTCCCCGGATGCAGCAACACGGATGCGTGGGAACACGAGGTTACCGCTGACTCCATGAACGTCTCCGGCCTTCTTCTGGTATTCGCCATTAACAGTGTATCGCTCGTTTCCGTATTGGTAGACAGCATTGGTTGAGTAATGCGTGCCGTCTCCGTTCAGGCTTCCACTTACTTGAACTGGCTGATAACCTGGAATGCTAATCTCTGTGCTTGCCTCGTGTCTGAGCATACGACCACTTCCTCTATTGCTGTAGTTGTTGCGAATGTTAACCTGCTTGTCTGGGCTGGTGTGAGCAATAGTCTCCGTTGTGTATTGACCAAGGGCTGTTTCCTCTACACTCTGCATCAACCGCATGTGGTTATCTGGGTACAGTACCTGTGCGGAAGAACAAGAAGATATCAGTAATAACAACACTAATAATTATTTCCACTCTATATAATGCATAAATTTGCACATAAAATCACACACTGCTATGTGTTCATACGTAATAAATTAAAAAGACTCGCTTTACAGTTGAATTCAAGCAGTGGAGTCTCTCATCACAACATTCGTTGAGCAGATAGACTCTCTGTTACCTGGATATCTCCACTGAGCTTGGTCAGCCTGGTGTTCTCGTTCTTCAGGTTGATGATGGTCTGGACCTGTTTGCCTGGAGCATAGCGTGCAGTCATCAGGTTGCTCAGAACGCGGGGGTTGTTGGTGTGGTCAATGTTGGCCTCCCAGTCGATGCTGTACCGTGGCCACAACACGTGGATCTTACCCGTCAGCCTGCAAATATTATAACACAATACCTGTTAACTTGCTGATATTATAACACAATACCTGTTAACCTGCCAATATTATAACACAACACCTGTTACCCTGCTAATATGATAACACAACACCGGATAACCTGCCAATATGATAACACAACACCTGTTAACCTGCTGATATTACAACACATCACCTGTAACCCCGCTATTATTACAACATATCAAATCAATGCTCAACTAATAAAGATGATTGAAATCATTATTCATTTCGCATACTGAATATTTCCGTATAATTTAGCAGCATTCACACATATATTCGCATTAGAAGACCACAAACAGGAGCTTACTGTTGGTCAGTCATCTTTCCAGCTCGGTTGTAGATCTGAGTAATCTTCAGCATGTCTCTATCGCTGCGAGAATACTTGCCAAAGTTGAACTCAAGGCTGTTCTCAACATGACCAGTTGTCTTTTGGATCTCCCAGCTAAAATATAAAGATGTTTACAGTTGTGCGTAGGTTTCCAATTAAATTTTAACACAATTACTATAGGTATATTCGGTCTAGTGATCGTGGGTTATTTGAGCATTCGCTTATTTCCCAGAACTTCTTCGACATACACACACCTCACCCATTAGTGCCTCTACAATTGTTACCTGAAGTGGCTGTTGAGAGCTGGATACTGAGTGAATGTAATGTCGTTAGCAATATCCATCTTCAGAAGGCTCGATGTGCTCATGTCACGTGCTTTGCTGTTCCATGCAACCTACAGTAAAAAATAACATTTATTAACAGGTTAATTAAGACTTGTTTATTCCACTAGTCCTTTTAAAGCAATGTCGTGTCGAGATGTAATTTCGCATCCGTTGTTGCTACTTACGTTGTACTGTGGATTGTCGAGCAGAGTGTAGTCAATGCTTGCACGAGACGCATATGTGGTGTCCAACAGCGTAGTCAAACTTTCCAGATGGGTCTTCAACAATGGCGATGCAAAGTCGATGGCAGCAGTGTACTGGCGGCTACCACGCGGTCCAATGTCTCCTATATGAACACAGCCGGTGATTAGTGTTAGTAACTGATTCGATCAATAGCAAACAAACATGGAGAAGAGAAGTTCACACTTAAAATGTAAACGTGAATAATACCCAGACTAATATTATGACACATGAAGTCATCAAAGATTCCCTACAGAACACACTTACCCTTCAGAATGACTGGTTCGCTGAAGGCGTTCAATAGGCTCAGGTCGACCGTGACTCCATTCTTCTCCTTCAGCAGGACAGATCCCTGAAGGTTGACGGGCTCCACGCCGCTCATGGTGACGGTCAGGCTGGGCGTGTAGCGCATCGAGTATGGCTGCTCATCTACCTCAAGGCTAGCGGCGACTCCGTAGCGGCTGCGCTCATCGATGGTCACGTCACCGTTCAGAGTCTTCATCGCGTACGTCCACTGGTAGTTACCTGAAAACGACGATCACGGTCTCATATATTACGCAAGAACGCAAAACGTTATTGCTCACATTGGCTAAATATTTAAGTCTTTATTGCCCACGCAGTAAAATATAGTTGGCTAAATATTTATGTCTTTTATTTGCGTAAATATACTGAAATTAATTTGGGTATTGGCCTCGCATTGAAATGCATTTGTATTATAGAGAGCGAGATGCGTTGCTGCACATTTTCATACGGTTAACCTCGTGGCGACTGGGTCGGTCGGCTTACCGTTGGCTGACATTTTCTTGTAGGGAGTGCGCAGATTGAAGGTGAGGCTCTTCTCTGGCTGGTTGACGATCAGGTCCGTAGTCCACTCGCGGTTGATCTGCGACTGTGGAGTGTCGAAAGCCAAACGCGCGTTGTAGACCCTCTGCGTCACTCCACTCACGCGAACCTTCTTCACGTTGAAGCGAGTCTCGAACTCGTACCCGGTCATGCTGTTGTCTCTCTTCGTCAGGTAGACGGCGGCGTTTGCGGGGCCACGGAAGGGCAGAGCTGGTGTGTTTGGCATGACTGATGGCTGGGGATAGGCGATCTCTCCGCAGAGCTGTACTCCGAACCACTTGGCGAACTTGTCGCTGGTGCATTTGACAGCATCGATGCGGTTGGCATCCAGTCCTCGCTGTGGACGCTCCTGGTGCTTGTGCAGCACGAAGAACTTGGACCTAAACGATGTATACATACATATATATATATATATATATATATATATATATATATATGTATGTGATGTGTGTGTGTGTGTGTGTGTGTGTGTGTGTGTGTGTGTGTGTGTGTGTGTGTCGTCGTACGTACGTACGTTAGTACGTACGTACGTCGTGTGTCGTCGTGTCGTAGTACGT